TTTTCCAACGCAATAACGTTTCGAATAATTGATTGTATCTCAGGATTCTGCAAGATAGTTGTCACATTAGATGCTACAGAATTAGGTGAATCAATAAAGTAGTTGTACATCGGAACTCTAAACACGCCATTACAATCCGCACAAAGAAATTTTACCTGTGAAGAATACCGTCGAAGCCTCTCACAAGTAGATTTATCTTGAGATAATAACCCCAAACACGAAAAGTGAACAGAGCGACCACACCCATCGCAAATAAAAGCAATCGCTTTATCGACTTGAGCCATACACACAGGACAACATTCAGTGACTGGAAAGTCTTTAACCTCAGAAGAGGGTGAGTTTTCAGTAGACGACATCTGGCAGACAGGATAAGGAGGAATCGCAGCCAAAAATTAAGATGAAAATAAACAAAGAAATGTAAACAACAATGGCGGCCGCAGACGTCGCCAAAAGCGAACTCGTGCGGCCACTAAACTAACAAAACACGCAAACAAATAACTTTTATAACACAAAAGGATTTGTTAAAGCGTAAAATTGAAATCAAGCAGCTCAAAAGACTGCTCGGCTTAATAAGCAACGCCTGTAGAACAAAATATAACAGATTTACAACAAAAGGAGAGAATTTTCCACTCTAAATATGTAAATAACTATGGACATTGTAACAAACCTGACATATAGCACAAACGCACGCGCGAAAAAGCCCTCTTTCTTGTACTTTTAAGCCACTCAGATACCCTACGGGCTCGGAAAGTGCAACGAAACCATCAAATTTTAGCTAGAAACCGTATTTTTGTCGATTTTTATTGAATTTGAACTATATTTCAACGTTTTTTGATGGTTCTGAGCCACCAAGCACACTTAAAGCATGCAGAATCGACTCAGAATAGGAAAAGGAGACGTTTAGGTCAATTTTATGCATTCAGGCGTTCGTAGATACAAGAAAACTGTTAAAATTCTTCAGAAACGTCACTTTTGAAGTGTTTTCTTGTACTTTTAAGCCACTCAGATACCCTACGGGCTCGGAAAGTGCAACGAAACCATCAAATTTTAGCTAGAAACTGTATTTTTGTCGATTTTTATTGAATTTGAACTATATTTCAACGTTTTTTGATGGTTCTGAGCCACCAAACACACTTAAAGCATGCAGAATCGACTCAGAATAGGAAAAGGAGACGTTTAGGTCAATTATATGCATTCTGGCGTTCGTAGAGACAAGAAAACTGTTAAAATTCTTCAGAAACGTCACTTTTGAAGTGTTTTCTTGTACTTTTAAGCCACTCAGATACCTTACGGGCTCGGAAAGTGCAACGAAACCATCAAATTTTAGCTAGAAACTGTATTTTTGTCGATTTTTATTGAATTTGAACTATATTTCAACGTTTTTTGATGGTTCTGAGCCACCAAACACACTTAAAGCATGCAGAATCGACTCAGAATAGGAAAAGGAGACGTTTAGGTCAATTTTATGCATTCTGGCGTTCGTAGATACAAGAAAACTGTTAAAATTCTTCAGAAACGTCACTTTTGAAGTGTTTTCTTGTACTTTTAAGCCACTCAGCTACCCTACGGGCTCGGAAAGTGCAACGAAACCATCAAATTTTAGCTAGAAACTGTATTTTTGTCGATTTTTATTGAATTTGAACTATATTTCAACGTTTTTTGATGGTTCTGAGCCAACAAACACACTTAAAGCATGCAGAATCGACTCAGAATAGGAAAAGGAGACGTTTAGGTCAATTTTATGCATTCTGGCGTTCGTAGATACAAGAAAACTGTTAAAATTCTTCAGAATCGTCACTTTTGAAGTGTTTTCTTGTACTTTTAAGCCACTCAGATACCCTACGGGCTCGGAAAGTGCAACGAAACCATCAAATTTTAGCTAGAAACTGTATTTTTGTCGATTTTTATTGAATTTGAACTATATTTCAACGTTTTTTGATGGTTCTGAGCCACCAAACACACTTAAAGCATGCAGAATCGACTCAGAATAGGAAAATGAGACGTTTAGGTCAATTTTATGCATTCTGGCGTTCGTAGATACAAGAAAACTGTTAAAATTCTTCAGAAACGTCACTTTTGAAGTGTTTTCTTGTACTTTTAAGCCACTCAGATACCCTACGGGCTCGGAAAGTGCAACGAAACCATCAAATTTTAGCTAGAAACTGTATTTTTGTCGATTTTTATTGAATTTGAACTATATTTCAACGTTTTTTGATGGTTCTGAGCCACCAAACACACTTAAAGCATGCAGAATCGACTCAGAATAGGAAAAGGAGACGTTTAGGTCAATTTTATGCATTCTGGCGTTCGTAGATACAAGAAAACTGTTAAAATTCTTCAGAAACGTCACTTTTGAAGTGTTTTCTTGTACTTTTAAGCCACTCAGATACCCTACGGGCTCGGAAAGTGCAACGAAACCATCAAATTTTAGCTAGAAACTGTATTTTTGTCGATTTTTATTGAATTTGAACTATATTTCAACGTTTTTTGATGGTTCTGAGCCACCAAACACACTTAAAGCATGCAGAATCGACTCAGAATAGGAAAAGGAGACGTTTAGGTCAATTTTATGCATTCTGGCGTTCGTAGATACAAGAAAACTGTTATAATTCTTCAGAAACGTCACTTTTGAAGTGTTTTCTTGTACTTTTAAGCCACTCAGATACCCCACGGGCTCGGAAAGTGCAACGAAACCATCAAATTTTAGCTAGAAACTGTATTTTTGTCGATTTTTATTGAATTTGAACTATATTTCAACGTTTTTTGATGGTTCTGAGCCACCAAACACACTTAAAGCATGCAGAATCGACTCAGAATAGGAAAAGGAGACGTTTAGGTCAATTTTATGCATTCTGGCGTTCGTAGATACAAGAAAACTGTTAAAATTCTTCAGAAACGTCACTTTTGAAGTGTTTTCTTGTACTTTTAAGCCACTCAGATACCCTACGGGCTCGGAAAGTGCAACGAAACCATCAAATTTTAGCTAGAAACTGTATTTTTGTCGATTTTTATTGAATTTGAACTATATTTCAACGTTTTTTGATGGTTCTGAGCCACCAAACACACTTAAAGCATGCAGAATCGACTCAGAATAGGAAAAGGAGACGTTTAGGTCAATTTTATGCATTCTGGCGTTCGTAGATACAAGAAAACTGTTAAAATTCTTCAGAAACGTCACTTTTGAAGTGTTTTCTTGTACTTTTAAGCCACTCAGCTACCCAACGGGCTCGGAAAGTGCAACGAAACCATCAAATTTTAGCTAGAAACTGTATTTTTGTCGATTTTTATTGAATTTGAACTATATTTCAACGTTTTTTGATGGTTCTGAGCCACCAAACACACTTAAAGCATGCAGAATCGACTCAGAATAGGAAAAGGAGACGTTTAGGTCAATTTTATGCATTCTGGCGTTCGTAGATACAAGAAAACTGTTAAAATTCTTCAGAAACGTCACTTTTGAAGTGTTTTCTTGTACTTTTAAGCCACTCAGATACCCAACGGGCTTGGAAAGTGCAACGAAACCATCAAATTTTAGCTAGAAACTGTATTTTTGTCGATTTTTATTGAATTTGAACAATATTTCAACGTTTTTTGATGGTTCTGAGCCACCAAACACACTTAAAGCATGCAGAATCGACTCAGAATAGGAAAAGGAGACGTTTAGGTCAATTTTATGCATTCTGGCGTTCGTAGATACAAGAAAACTGTTAAAATTCTTCAGAAACGTCACTTTTGAAGTGTTTTCTTGTACTTTTAAGCCACTCAGATATCCTACGGGCTCGGAAAGTGCAACGAAACCATCAAATTTTAGCTAGAAACTGTATTTTTGTCGATTTTTATTGAATTTGAACTATATTTCAACGTTTTTTGATGGTTCTGAGCCACCAAACACACTTAAAGCATGCAGAATCGACTCAGAATAGGAAAAGGAGACGTTTAGGTCAATTTTATGCATTCTGGCGTTCGTAGATACAAGAAAACTGTTAAAATTCTTCAGAAACGTCACTTTTGAAGTGTTTTCTTGTACTTTTAAGCCACTCAGATACCCTACGGGCTCGGAAAGTGCAACGAAACCATCAAATTTTAGCTAGAAACTGTATTTTTGTCGATTTTTATTGAATTTGAACTATATTTCAACGTTTTTTGATGGTTCTGAGCCACCAAACACACTTAAAGCATGCAGAATCGACTCAGAATAGGAAAAGGAGACGTTTAGGTCAATTTTATGCATTCTGGCGTTCGTAGATACAAGAAAACTGTTAAAATTCTTCAGAAACGTCACTTTTGAAGTGTTTTCTTGTACTTTTAAGCCACTCAGATACCCGACGGGCTCGGAAAGTGCAACGAAACCATCAAATTTTAGCTAGAAACTGTATTTTTGTCGATTTTTATTGAATTTGAACTATATTTCAACGTTTTTTGATGGTTCTGAGCCACCAAACACACTTAAAGCATGCAGAATCGACTCAGAATAGGAAAAGGAGACGTTTAGGTCAATTTTATGCATTCTGGCGTTCGTAGAAACAAGAAAACTGTTAAAATTCTTCAGAAACGTCACTTTTGAAGTGTTTTCTTGTACTTTTAAGCCACTCAGATACCGTACGGGCTCGGAAAGTGCAACGAAACCATCAAATTTTAGCTAGAAACTGTATTTTTGTCGATTTTTATTGAATTTGAACTATATTTCAACGTTTTTTGATGGTTCTGAGCCACCAAACACACTTAAAGCATGCAGAATCGACTCAGAATAGGAAAAGGAGACGTTTAGGTCAATTTTATGCATTCTGGCGTTCGTAGATACAAGAAAACTGTTAAAATTCTTCAGAAACGTCACTTTTGAAGTGTTTTCTTGTACTTTTAAGCCACTCAGATACCCTACGGGCTCGGAAAGTGCAACGAAACTGTAGTGTTTCTTAAATAAAACTCCATAGTTTCCTTGCCTTATTTAATACCCGCGATTATATACAAATAAAGAAACACAACTTCTCTAACTTAACGCTCTATTCGACGGCCATCATTCCTCTCCTACTCTGGCGCATGCTCTGCACTGCGTGCGCCACACCTATGCAACTACGTACACCACACTACTCTCCCCTTAAAAAAAATAGAAGAAATCTCCTTAGTATCGGAAACGGTCTGGCGGTTTCAATTGACTACGCCGTCTCAGCTTTGTGACTAAAGAGCTTTCTTTTGACAACTCTGTTTGATTATCCTGCACGTCCTGATCTATCTTACAATCTAACAGAATTTTCCTATCCTCTACATAGTTCTTATCTTGTACATTCCGTAATGCCCTATTGACTAACAGCTGATTTATATGTCGTTTCCACACATAACCTTCCGTTATTTCTACTAAATAGGTGCGCGGCCCTAACACCTTGACAATGCTGCCTGCACACCAAGCTGGCTTGGCGTGGCGATAATCACGTGCTAGGACAGTATCATTTACATGAAATTGTTGGAATCGCTTGCCTTTATAATGTTTAACTGCCTGATCTTGCTTTTTACGCCACGTTTGCTGCAAGCCTGCCTTACCAACATCTACGGCCCTGGTGTCGGGTCGTAACAAATCTAGTCTACATCTTAGATTCCTACCTAACATTAACATTGCTGGTGATTGACCAGTCATACAATGAACCGTATTTCTATAATCCAAAAGGAATTTGTTTAACGCTAAATTAAAATTTGCAAGATTGTCATCTTTTAAACATTTGTATAACGCCCTCTTGACCGTTTTAACAGAATTCTCCGCTTGACCATTCGTAGCGGGGTGACATGGAGCTGATCTTTTAAATCGGATACCATTAACTCGCAAAAAATTTTCAAATTCTTCCGATGTAAAAGCTCTGCCATTATCCGACACAATGGTTTTGGGAAACCCAACCCTCGCAAACAAACTTCGCAAAACATTAATGGTTGCTTGAGTTGAGATGTTTGTCATAACAAACGCTTCTGTCCATTTACTGTACGCATCCACCACAATTAAAATTTGTTTATTGAAAATCGGCCCTAAAAAATCTATATGTATACGTTCCCAAACTGAATCTGGAATTGACCATGGC